TTTAGAAACATAATTTTACTAATCCCCTATATCTCCGCCACTGGTGGACGTTAATGTTAAGTAAAGACTTTTTAATGTGGACAATACTTTCAGTTGACGGTTTTGAAGATATATGAAAACAATGTTTTTTATTTTTAAACTTGAACTGTATCTCTTTAAACCCCGAGGAAAAAATCTTACATAGAACATAGAAGACCTCCTGAAAATACGATTCTGTGTATGATGTTTCATTTTTGGTCCCGACATAATGAAAAATTCTACAGTTTCCTCGGATCCGATTTGGGATGAAAAATTGGTAGTGAATCCTAGAACTGATTTGACATCGAATTCAGAATACATATAAGCAACTGATTTACCTAGAAAACAAGCTGCCAGAGCTGGAGGTTTTTTATTAGTCGTTTTTAGCGACACAAAAAAGCGGATTATAAGAATGGTCAGACGTCAGTGATATTATATCCTGAATCAAACCAGTGTCTTGATGCCTTACTGCAACCAACATAACAAAGCGTATGTTTTGTAAACGCTAGAGCTAGTGACAGTGGCGGACCGCCACCAACATTGCAGAGCGCAACCGGCATTACAGATAATGTGTTTTGTAAATGCTAGAGCTAGTCACAGTGGCGGACTGCAACCAACATTACAGAGCGCAACCAGCATTACAGAGTATGTTTTGTAAATGCTAGAGCTGGTCACAGTGGCGGACCGCAACCAACATTACAGAGCGCAACCAACATCACAGAAGGCAACCAGCATTACAGAGATTATGGTTTGTAAATGCTAGACCTAGTGACAGTGGCGGACCGCCACCAACATTGCAGAGCGCAACCGGCATTACAGATAATGTGTATTGTAAATGCTAGAGCTAGTCACAGTGGCGGACTGCAACCAATATTACAGAGCATGTTTTGTAAATGCTAGAGCTAGTCACAGTGGCGGATCGCAACCAACATTACAGAGTGCAACCAACATCACAGAAGGCAACCAGCATTACAGAGATTACGTTTTGTAGCTTGTAGATGAAATTTCGTAGTTTTTTTTTAAGTTTTTTACATACCCCTGCGGACCACTACTATTTTTTACTATTTCGTTTATGACACAGAGGTAAACAGTAATGGAATGTAGATTGACAGATAAAATTTTACTCTGGAATACTTACACCTAACTAATGTCTAACCACGTTTTCTGCGACCATTGTAGTTATTATAAGAGACCTAGGGGATACGGTGTAGCATTTATCATGATACATATATATTCTGCCAATTTTGAGCAGTTTTTGATAACCAAATAAATTGAATAAACAATAATCAAATTCAAGCGGATAACCAAATGGAAATGGTATTTACCATTTTGGGTTGGAATTTACCAATCCGTTCAAGCGAGTGTCGTTATCAGTTTGGTTATAAGATCCGTGACGTCACGAATCAGCTGTTATATGTCATAGTTATCACCGATAAATTGTGGTATTTACCCAACTCAAGAGTAGTTTTATATTTCTGGTTATTATTTGAAATGTGACAAGTTAGAAATTTGCCGGGTATTGGATATTGTTATTGTACTTCAGCTTCATTTTTAAGAAAAATGATACAGGCTGACTTTAGTTTTACCATAAAATGGAGCACCTTATTAGTTATACTCATTACGGTTGTTGGGGGCACCTTAAATGTAGTTCCTATGCTTAACAAAGTATCCTGTGTAGCCATATACCACAATATTAAAATATGGCCATATAAACCCACCTGTATACGGTTTTGCTAATTTCTTTTTTCATCATTTCTGCTGAATCAATAAATGTTTTCTTTGACATGCGGAAAAATTTAGAGAACTGAAAGTTATCATAGCCACAAAGCCATGGTTCCATCATTAAAAAAAAATCTGAAAAAAACATTTCTCCCATGAATATTATGAAAGGTTTCTTATTTAAACTTTCCATATATTTGTAGACGAAAAAGCACCGATTATTAAGTGATAATAAAAATAATCAGAGATTATATACGCGCTTTTCTAAAATAAACAACTTGCAACAAAACCGCGGTTAAAACCAACGCGTTTAAGCGATTCGTGTAACTGACGTCATCAACCCGTGTGTCATCTTGAACCATATTATAACCGCGGCACATAACAGAGAAATTTTGGTTATTCACTTGGATTTGATTAATGAACCATGATCATGACAAGTGACAGAACTCTTATTACCAAGTTTTTGACCTGGAGAAGAAAAGTATACTTTTGACGTTCCACACGGATAGAGCATCCCACAAACCGGCGCGAAATAATCGCGGCGAAGTATTCGCAACGAAATTCAGAGCGAAATTCGCAATCTGTTTCGCCTGTTTATTCATACCAAAGCGTCTTATTCGCTCCGCGAACGTGAAGGTTTCGACAGGTTGCATACATTTTATTTTTGCCTTTTGCAATGAGCTCGTATTCAGAAGAAGAGTAGGCACTTCTATTTCTTGCTTTAGAAGAGGAACAAAATGCACGGTAAGTTATGTTTATTTAACGCCATTTGATAGTTGGGTATGCATTAAGTTTAACGAAGTACATAAAACAAATATTTTCAATTTTGTTTAGGAAACGAAGGAAGTGGTACATGATATTAACTTGGAACGAAATAAATTTGGGGAATACCATACCTTGATGCCACAACTTCGGCTGGATGAACAGCGCTTTTACGTATATTTTAGAATGACTCCAGAGTGTTTCGATGAAATATTGAACTTGGTGAAAGATGAAATACGAAAATCTGACACAAATTATCGTGAAGCTATTTCGCCAGAAGAACGACTTGCTATTACACTCAGGTAAAAAAATTATATGTATTAAAATTAGTAGGCTTATCGAATACGAAAACTTCAGGGATCGTGAAATAAATATTTTATTGTAATAATTGGACTACATGTTGCCACTAGGATTAAATGTTGCTAAATAATTCGAGGCAGAATTTGCCTCCTCTGTTGGGTATGTTATTGGAGTAAACCCAGTGCCGCTTGGGAAGGACGACATACTACTATCATACATACTTGCAGAATTCTGGGTAGACGCTGAAGACATTTCTTCAATATGTTCTTCATGCGCTATTAATTCGGCTATTTTTAGTTTTATTCGGGCTTGACGCTTTAAGGGAAGTGTTTTCACAGTCTGTGCATGTGCCAAGAAAAGTGAATCAATGGCCTCGTTCTCTTTTTTAGGTTTTTTACCTTCAAAATAATTAATGAGCTGTTGTACAGACGAAGATGGTGGTTCATAGCGTTTTCTGCTCGTTTTATATTTTGGTGTAGTTGCAGTCTGCGGAAAGGTGTGCCCTGGAGTAGTCACTGCTGTAGTGTTCAATGAAGAAGGTGGTGCTGTCTGTGTTGCCGAGGCGTTCTGTGCATCTTCTGCATCTACATCAGCATTTTCATCTTCTCCATGGCCGCGGTCTTCCAAATTTTCGGTTTCTACATTTCCAGCCCTTTCCTGATATATATTTGAGTTAAATTCGGCAGTCTCATAATGTATGACGTCAATATCTTTCACATTAGATGACGTTTTGGCAAATGCCAAAAAGGACGGAAAAATTCCATGTAGTCAGCCCACTGCCATTTCTTTATGTTGCCCACTGCTTGGCCGGTCTTTGGTTTGGTAGATTTTATATATTTTGCAAATGTGTCTCTGATATTCTTCCACCTTTTTTTTACTTCATCACCTAAAAGCGATTTTTTTTTATAGATTCCTTGCCACTGGTGACACCTTCTATACCATTGGGCATAGCTTTAGAGTTGGCTTTACAACAGTGAGTACAATCGTAACCGAAGTCTGTGAAGCGATATGCAGACACATGGAACATATATATTTACCAGAACCAACAGAGAATATATGGAAAAAATGTGCTGAAGAATTTGAAAATAGATGGGGATTTCCCAATTGCATTGGCAGCGTGGACGGTAAACATGTAATAATCAAGAAACCTAACAACAGTGGCTCCAATTACTGGTGCTATTTACATAAATATTCAATAGTACTTATGGCCATTGTTGGCCCGGACTATAAATTTATATGTGTTGATATTGGTGGTTTCGGAAAAAATAGTGATGGGGGTATTTTCGTAACCTCAAACATGGGAAAACGATTTGAACAAAATTTAATGAGTGTCCCTGCACCTAGATTTCTCCCTGGGCAAAATGAAATCTGATCGTACGTCTTAATTGGTGATGAAGCATTTGCTTTAAAACCATACCTTATGAGACCATTTCCTTATAAGCAGACTTTAACAGACGTCAGAAAAGAGAAATACAAGACTTTGTCGAGCTAGAAGGGTCGTGGAAAATGCGTTTGGTATTTTGTCTCAAAAATGGCGAATATTTTACAGGCCATTAGAAACTAAAGTAGATACTACTATTCTAATTGTACGCACGGCATGTGTTTTACACAATTTTTTACGAAGTAAAAGTGGCGATGACAAATATTTTCAATTCTTAGATCCCCCAGAACCCGTACTTGGAGCTTTTACTGATATAGCAAATGATCCTCGGCGGGCAGCAAGGCTAGCATTTTCTACTCGTGACAAATTCGTAAATTATTTTAATTCTGATATGCCTATGCCCAATATATAGAATGTTCGTTTTCACATTTGTGTAGACTGTAAATTATTTAACAAGTTAATAAAAAATATTAGGTACATACCATTTGTATTTAATTCTTTTCCTATTTCCATCCAAATCCTGTCTTTCTTTCTCACATTCCTGTATTCATCGTTCGACAAATCATACAAACAAGGATGCTTTTTCACCATTTCTATCAATAATTCCGTTTTTGCCATTGCGAATTTTTGAAGAACGGCGTCAAAAACGCGGTCAAAGGCGAACTAAAATACGCCGCGATAAAAACGCTGGAACAATCGCATTCGCTTCGCACAAGTCTGAGCCTGTCCGTAAACCGCCGCCTTTTAATCTGATCGCGAATTCATCGCCGCGAAATTTTCGCAGCCAAAGCGAATATTTCGCGCCGGTTTGTGGGATGCTTTATTTTCTTCTATTTCCGAACGCATGTACATAACAGGTGCGTCAAACAATTGCGAACGCTAAAATTGTTACAAAGTACACTCTGGAATAATTTACGAACGCAGCGCTGACCATGATCTATCCACTGCTCCACCAGCTGTTCTGTCACTGTCTTCGTGCTGTCAACAGTGTCAACCAATCACCATCTAAAAAGTGTTTACTCATTTTGGATGTGTTGAAAAGAGTCCCAGTTTTTTGTTTGAAAAATGTCTATGATAGAAAGACCATATTACTCTGACTACTCTTCAGCCCCGATCCAACATCAGTTCAGCCCTTATGCCGATAATGGAGGGTAAGTAGCTTCATGAATTTCATCTAGGGCTCCTCTATTTGTGGTTTATCCGTTTTAGGAGCGTCGTAGCGATTGCCGGTGATGACTTTGCAGTAATCGCAGCGGATACCCGTCTCAGCGCCGGCTTCTCCATCTATACCAGGGAGCAAAACAAATTGTTTCCTTTATCTGATGGCACCATCCTAGGATGTGCAGGTTGTTGGTGTGATACACTCACCTTAACCAGAATCCTGAAGTCAAGAATGCAGATGTATCAACATGAGCACAACAAGACCATGTCTACTACTGCTTGTGCTCAGATGCTTTCAACTTTATTGTATTACAAAAGGTTCTTCCCATATTACATCTCCAATGTAATGGTCGGATTTGATACTGAGGGGAAAGGATGTGTGTACAGCTATGATCCTATAGGCCACTGTGAGAAAACAAACTACAAAGCAGGTGGTTCTGCTGGTGCTCTCCTTCAGCCTTTATTGGATAACCAAATTGCTCACACCAATTTAGATAAAGTTCCAAAAGAGCCATTAACTTTGGAAAAAGCTTTAGCTTTGTTGAAAGATGTATTCATTTCTGCTGCTGAAAGAGATATCTATACAGGAGATAAAGTATTGATCAATATTATTACTAAAGATGGTATTAAAGAGGAAGCATTTGATCTTAGGAAGGATTAGAATAGCAATTTGTACTGTTTATCAATAAATGGATTGAATATTTAAAAGATTTTCACTTTTCACTTGTCTGAGGTGCTGATCGACATGGAGAGCAGTGTTGTCAGGTCAAGAAATAAAATTCACCAGAAATTGGAATGAAAAATCACCAGGAATTTTAAAAGCTAATTTTTTAGGCTGTATTACTAGTTGTAAATGAAAAAAATGCATTCATAATGTTTGTATACAGCTTAATAACTAAATTGTTTAATAAAACAATTCATAAATTTCCTGCTACTGTGACAAAGGCAGTAAAGCATTGTTTTATAAGCACCTACCTATGATACAATTTGAATACATGTTTCCTTTTTTTATGATTTTGAATTTCTTTTTAACACCCAGATCAGAATTATTAAAGAAAAATCATATTTTTTATCAAAACAAATTTTTATTTCCCAGTATGATGATTATAATACATAATACTTCTGTAAAGTAGTGTAAGTAAATTAGTAAGCATCTAATATACAACTAGAAACTAAAAATAACCCATTCAACAGTTTTGTAATAGTCCTAAATACAAGCGCTTTAATTAAATATTACATTCTTTCAAAAATAATTATAAGCGTGTTTACATATAGATTCCTGATTACAAAAACAAGTCTATACGCTCAGTTTACAGTACTTACTAAATTAATGTATTTTATATATCTAATTGTTGTGTAGTGATCATATTTTATTTGATACATCAAAGTTGTAGCAGCTGTTTGGCTTAATGAGTCTTTAAAGTATGCAATATGCCACTTAATGTTGTTTCACCCAGTTTATTCCTAAGTTTAGTTTTATTTAAATTTGTACTACTAAAAACTCTTTCCACACATGCACTGCTGTGGGGTAAAATAAGTAATGACTTAACAAACTTGCCCAATTCGGGAAACATCTCTTTTTAGTAGACACACTGTTTTCCAGAGGGAGGTTCTTTAAAAAAATCAATGCGGGCACTTATTCCCAATGCGGGCATTTATTGGTCAGACACCAATAAACATAAAATAAACTATAAATAAAATAACATAAGCAATAAGTCAATATTTTTAGTGAGAAGGATGAACCTGATGCTTTAATAATAAATTATCAACATTTGGCGTCAATTTTGTAAGGGTTAATCTTAAATCTCCTCGGCTAATGATGTCCAGTCTGTTTCTTTTTTTCATTAGGAGATTGGTAACAGCGCTGAACCCCCTTTCCACTAGGTATGACGATGGAAAGGAAATTAAAAAGTTCCTCCCTTTATTCCATAATACGGGATAAGTAACGGGTATGTTGTTTTGCAGCCAGAATTGCTGATATCCGTTTTTAAACTGAACCTTAAGTTCTTCGTTTGTACTTAGTTCAGTCAGTTCCTCTTGTATTATGACATTCGTTTCTTCCAAATGTCACCATATGGATTAATTATCCAAGTTGGTATTACCATAGTCAAAATATCCTCAAACCTAGATTCAAAATCTGAATAGAGGGCATTTAAATGTTGAACGTAAGTTGAGACATCGTCTTTCTGGCAGCTTGTCTGTGACAAATTGGGGAACTGAGAAAATTCGCCCCGTCCAGTATTTTGCTTCATTAGTTTAACTCTTGCAAGAAACGCTGATAAGATGGACTTTGTTTTAATCAAATTTAAACTGTCGCCTTGTAATTGCAAATTAACCATATTAAATTTTGTAAACAAATCTGTTAAATGGGCGATGTCTGTTTTCCTCTTCATTAAATTTTCTTTTAAAATTTTATCATTAGTATCCAGAAATTCTAAAATAGTCTCAAAAAGTGCAAAAAATCTTGTCAAACATAAGCCTTTCGACAGCCAGCGTACTTCAGTGTGAAGGAGTAATTGATGAAAGTGTTCGTCATTTTCTTCACACAACTGCGCAAATAACCGCGTATTCAACGCGTTGCTTCGGATTCGGTTTACTGCATCAATGACTAAATGAAGTGATTCATGCAATCTAACACTTAAATTTTTAGCAACTAAATGTTGTCGATGGATGACGCAATGTATTGCTAACACCCCTGACACATTTTGTTTTAAATAGCTTATAAATCCACGATAACGTCCAACCATGGCAGGTGCTCCATCTGTAGCAACTGATATTATATTTGATAAAGGAATTGCTTTTTCAATGAAGTAATCCTTCAAAACATGAAATATTGATTCACCTTTAGTGTCGGTTATTAAAGTTCCTGCGAAGAGCAGTTCTTCGTAGATTTCTTGATTCATAATAAAACGAACATATGCCAATAATAATGCTGCATTATCAGGTAAAGTTGACTCGTCCAGTTGTATAGAGAAATGGGTCGTTTGCAAATAATTACATAAGAAGCTTTCAATATCAGAACTCATTTTATCAATACGTCTTTCAACAGTATTGTTGCTTAAGGGAATTCTTTCAATGATATCAGATGCAGGTTTGTGTAACACATTTTTTAAAACCTCTTCAACGGCTGGCAAAATTAACTCCTCTCCGATAGTATGCGGTTTTCCGGATTTTGCGATAAGTAACGAGATATTGTAAGACGCCCGCAAACCATCATCATTTCTTTGTGACGTCGAAGCGAACATTCTGTCCAGTGTAGATCTCTTCTGAAATATATCTTTGAGTGTTTGAAAGTATTTCAAATCTTTCTCTGTTTTATCAGGGTGGCATCTTCTCAGATGACCTTGCAGTTTAGATGGTTTCATTGCGTCATTGCCCAAAACTTTGTTGCATAAAAGGCACATAGGCGATTGTTTGTCCGGCAATGATGGAATGAAGCCAAATTTCAAATAATCAACACTGTACTGTCTACATTTCTTTTTAGATTCGGACATGGCATCAGTCATCTGTGGGCAAAATTAAATTATTTAAATAAGACAGAAAATCCAGCAGCTCTATATTAAAAATATTTTTTGATTTTTCCGAAAACATTCCATAATTCGAACATCTTCTTGCAACAATTAGCCCGAATTACGGAGATTGCACTGTAATTATATTACAGATTGCTAAAACTTTCAAAAAGAAACTATTGAGGAGTACTCGTGTAATTTTGCATGATTGAATATTTAACTACTAATAATTAAAGTCATGATTGGCGTAATTTATCTATCTTTGCTAACTACGAGTACAAAACTAAAATTTAATAAAAAATAATGTACTTACTTTTCTCCAGCACTCTCAAACAAAATAATACTGACTCACTATAATTTGTGTGATATACTATCTGTTTATATTTTTTAAAATATTTTCTTAGCACTTTCCTTTTCAAGATTCAGGAAACGAATAAACGTATTTGTCCCACATTCGTATTTATAGAGTGACGAATTGAAGTTAGTTAATTTATCTTTTTTCAACAAGGAGAAAAAATAAACTGGGAATAGCTTCCGAAATATCAAGGCTGCCATGGGATTGCGGAGAAATAAGAAACCTTTCCTGAAAGGCATCAGCAGTTTGTTGGGGATCTTTTATTATTACACCATTATTAAGTTTTAGCTCGATGGAACGCTTTAGTTTTTTATTAGTTTCTGCCTTTAAAATACGCCACGCAGTTTTGTCATCCTTTTTTTAGTTTAATATTTTATTTTCATTTAAAGCTATTTTGTAATTCGACAGAAATTCGATATTCTTGTCGTTCAATTTTATACTGATTATATACTCTAGGGCTATGTGTAATCTTAGACCAAACATACAAATCTTTTATATAATCGGAGTATGCTTTTGTCTCATCATTTATCCAGCTTTATTCTTTGAATTTCAACCGATAGGTACACAATGGAAAAGGAATGTCAAAATAGTGAAATAGTATGTTAAAGAAGGTTTGATATTTCTCCTCATAATTGATGTTAGAAACCTTGCTTTAATGTAAAATTAAGGCTCTGACCATGGTGGTCTGATATATTTATTTTTTCATTGTGAATCAGGTACATATAAAAATATTATCCAGTGCCCTCAATGTGACCTATCCTCGTTATGCCTGTCACGTTGGACACTAGTAGTCCATAACTAGTCACAAGGGGCCGTTCAAGTATTACCTAAGCTGATTTATTACAATTATTTACCCCCCCCCCCCCCCATCCCCCTCGTCAGCAACAGTTAGCAAAGCTCTTACCCCCCCCCATGCTTACGTAAACATTTTTCAATTAATGTATTGTTTGTTTAATATTATAATTATAACGTTATAATTATAATTTGAAAAACAAGAAAATAGATTTAGGATAGAGATTATATTTTACTGATACGGTATTCAACATAGAGTAAACGACAAAAATATTATATCTTACTAACATAACAAACTTATTTTAAATTTTTGGTACATATATTAAATTCAAATTAACAGTCTTCAGTCCATGAAACCCGAATCCATGATTCTAAGTTTTCGATGACATTGGATTGCTGCTCAGTGTTGTGAGTTTGCTCGCTTTCATCGGATTTTGGAATGTCTACGTCGTTCTCATCGAGCCATTCAACATCATGGTGCTCTAAATTTTGAATAACGCACATCAGTTCATTAGCACGACGAGCAGCCACTCTTACAGGTCTAACTTTCCTATCAGTGTGCGTGTTTACTTTTTTATGGATATTTTCGATGTAGCGATATAGTGACTTGACGGAAGCATGATAAAGACCACACGTTTTGCATGTTCGACTTGATAGCCTCAATTTTGCAGGAAATCTTTGAGCGAAGCACTTAAGCGTAGAGCTAAATTGACTGGAAGATTAAGAAATTGCCCTCCTTCATCCAAAACCAAGTCATCAACTGTTTGTTTTACTTTTACAGGTGATGGAAGAAACCTATTGTCTAGTAATCTAAACAGGCCACTTCTTGGACGACAGCATTCTGTATTTCTACATTTTACAATTTGAAGCAAGTATTGGCTCTCACGCACATGTTCTCAATACCATTTAATGTCTGGAAAATCAGGAAGACCTTGTTCACCTGCCCCAACATATTTTGCATTAACATTCTAGCCATCAATTTCCATTGAACTCCATACTTCAGCTAATACATTTCCTGCAAATTCGAAATTAGATCTTTCTAAATGTTCATCAATTGTAACGCCACGTTCATCCAAATGAGACCCAAAATTGTCATGAGGCAATATTAAACCAGCCAGTTCCCGACTAAGAGGAGCCATTCTGCGCTCTACTCTGTTATAAGCACTTCTTCCAGGAGCATTGGTAGCTAAAAACAATGCATCGAGATCATGTCGCTTAAAGTGTTGTATAGCAAATCCTATGACTTTTTGATAACGTGGATTTTCATCTGGCCCTCCATCAACCGTCATGATTACCACTGGTTTTACTAGTCCATGGTCAGTTTTAGCTAATGGTCGAAACTCTTCAAGTTCGAGAAGCGTCTCGAAATCCTGAGCATGAGTATTAGCAG